TGAACCCTGACCTGACCTTATGGAGACGGGTGGCCTCCTGGCCTGTTGCACGGCTACCTCCTTTGGATCTCTCTTCACTGTCATTTGGGAATTCTCTTTTCCTATCTTGCATCACCATGTCTTTTCCCCAAGGTCTCTTCCTCTTTCTTGCCTTACTCCCTCTCTTCCTGTGAAAAGGTGCATAGGAAGTAAGTCGTTTTTGAGATTTTGCATGTCTGAAAATGTCTGTCTTCTGTCTTCACTCTTAATTGATAGTTTGGCTGGGTAGTAATTCTTGGCAAAAATTTTCTTTCAGAATTTTGAAGGCACTGCTTCATTGTCTTGTGGCTTCCATTACTGCTATAGCAAGGGCAAATTTCTCCCTGGGGGAAGTGTACTGTATAGCAAATATACTTCTTGCTATAATGTACTCGTAATTTAAAAATACACCACAAAAGCACCATTTCTGCATTCAATGTTTCTCTCTGGAAACTAGCAAACTCGTTTCTTTGTCCTCAGTTGACTGATATTTCACTTCCAAGGGCTTCCTTGGACTGAGCCCTTTTAATCTGGACACTTCCTTCATTTCTGGGAAATTTTCTTGAATTTTGATGATTCAGTGATTCCCTTCCTCATTAATTCTATTCTCACCTTCAGGAACTCCTGAACTCTGGACTTGTACATTGGACCTCCTGGATGGATCTTCTAAATTTGAAATATTTTCTTCGTCTTTTTGTTCTCCTTTCTGGAGGATTTAATCTAACTTTATCCTCTAAACTTTCTGCCGAGTTCATTTTATCTCTGCCATAAAAATTAGTCTTTACACATGACTAACTTTTGCCTTTGTTGATTCTTTTTCTTATCTTTGTTTTTCACTTCATTAATTTTTGTTTATGTCTTTATTATTCCTTCTTTCAACTTCCTTTGGATTTAATCTATTCCTTTTTTTTATACTTCTTAAGTTGACAAATTAGCCTATTAATTTTTAGGCTCTAACCACAATATGGCTTTAGCACCACATCACAGGATTTAATAGGAGGCATTTTCATTAATGTTCAGTTTCAAGTGTTTTCTAATTTTTTTTCTTTGACTCATGAGTATATAGAAGTATACCTATTATTTTAATTTTCCTAAAATTGATTTCTCATTTGATTGCATTAAGATCAGAAATAATGTCCTCTATTTTTAAATTTTTGTTGACACTTGCTTTGTAGCTTTTAATATAACTCATTTCTAATGTTTTACTAGTTCTTGCAAATAACAGGCACTCTCCAACTGATGCTTTTTGATTTTTTTGTATGTTCATCAAATAAAGCTTGTTAATTGTGCTGCTCAAATATCCTATATATCTACTGAGTTCACTTTAAATTAAAATCATTGGCTTACATTTTTCTTCATAAAATGCAAATACTGTATCATGCCTTAAACCCGTCTGAGTTTCAAGTAAAAGCCACAATTCTTAGAGGGAAAAAAATAGTTCTACCTAGAATCAGGAAGACAGATGTGATTTCTTGCTGTTTCCCTTTGCAAATTTTTTTTGTAGTCCACCATTTAGCTAACTGTGTAGCCCTTTGTCAGTTCTGGCTTTATGCAGTCTACTCCCTGCCCTGTTTCTGCCCCTATAGCTATGGGCACCAGGGACAGTAGATATCCCCAGGGCATCCGGCACCTTCAGTGAGTCCTTACCTTCCCAGTCTCTTCTTCCAGCTTCACTCCTGGTTTTAGAGAATTTCCCCTACTTTCACATAAATTTACAAATTCATTTTAAATGAAAATTTAAAATAGTTTATCCAGCATTATTAGGTGTTTTGTAGTGGGAGAGTTTCTGCTAGTGTAACTTTCTTACTTTACTCATCTCTCCCCCTTGCTCTTTTCCTGCCAGTGTCCTAGTTTAAAAACATTTTATGGATGTAAAAGGGCCATCACCTGTTTTCTTCTTTCCTTTTTCCCCCAATTCCCTGCTCAGTTTTTATTTTATTTTATTCTATTGTATTTATTTATTTTTTATTCTGGTTACTTGCAGATGAAGGGAGAGCACTTAACAAAGTGTTGATGAGGATAAAGAGGTGAGACAGCCTTTGCAGCAAAACAGTAACAGAAAGAACTGTTGTCTAGCTTTATAACTGAAATATGTGGGATGTAGGTGATCTCCTATACTTATGGCTAAAGATGCATCTTCTTGTTCCCTTGCAGACCTACTGGATCAGAATCTCAAGGGTAGGGGTGGGGAATGAAGCCTGAGAGTGGACATTTTAACAAGTTGTCCAGATGGTCAGGAGGCACACTAATGTCTGGGAACCACTTGTATGGACCTTTGATTTCTCAGTAGGGTGGGCAGTAAGGAGGGATGAAGCAATTGGACATAGCATGGATGGATTATTAATTGCACTTTCCATCCAGTTACTGTAATGTGGCAGGCAAGAAATATTCCTCCCAGACTCTGGAAAAAGTTTAACAGTAAATACCAGATTTTGGCAGTGTGTTTTATCAAAAGTACTACTTATTTTAGGGAGAATTTGAGAGAGAAGTTACCTAGAGGTTATGATGGACATCTCTTAAAATAAAACACCTCTGGTTCATCTATTGAACATTCCTAAGGTCTACTCTTCTACTTTTTCTCATTCAGCGTCATAGCCACCAACTAGGGTCTCTTGTTTCAAGTTGTTTTTTTTTTGTTTTTACCACCACATAGCTAGAACTTGATGCTTCCTGTCTTACTCAATTCATGGTTCATCACAGATTAAAATATTATGATCAAATTGATCAAATATGATCCATTGTATCATCTAGTGGTGACCCAATTTGCCTATGAGGTCCAACTTCTTCATTTGAGATTACCCAGCCATTCAAGATTCTTTAATCTATAATCTTTTCCTCTTTCTCTGACAATACCTTCCCACTCTCCAAAGACTATGTCTCTCTCATCTGGCTGGTTTCAATGTCTCTGTAAATTAATCAGGCTTGTCAGGACTCTAAGCCTCTACTCATGCTTTCTATCACTCTTCTTTGTTTATCCAAATCTAAACTAGCATTCAAAGTGAAGCTCAGATGCTACCTTTTCTCTGGCTGCATTTTCTTCTTCACATTGCAGATCTGTCAATCCAAAAACTCCACCATTTTTCCATTTCCCAGAGGTTAAGATGCAAACTCTTTCCCCTTGCATACAACATAGCCCCACTTTCTCTTTCTGGTCGCATCTCTACAAACTACTTTATGCACTTGACCTCCAGACACAGTGACTCCCTTTCTGATTCTCAGTCTTGCCACACATTTTTAGTTTTCTGTACTTTGTATCTGTTCTTTCCTTTGCCAGATATGACTTGCCCTTTTCTCAGCCTGAAAAATTCTTGCATATCCTTCAAGAACCTCTTCAAACATCACCTTCTCTGTGAAATCTCCCTGACCTCTCCCAGGTGAAGCACTCCACCCCAGAGTAGTTTGAGTCTAAATATCCTAAACATGTGGCTCATTGTGTTGTAATTCTTTATTTGTATATCTGTGTTCCATACTTGATGTGAGCCTATTGCTACACAGTACCTGGCAGAATACTGTTTATCTAATAGTTGCTCAGTAAACGTTGCCCAATGACTGAACACTGTAACCTGTATTGATCTCCCTAGTGCCGTAACTGCAAGGGCTCTTAGTGTTTATTCCAATCATTTTGCTAAATTGCCTTATATTATTCTTTCACTGTTTGAAGCATGTTCTAGATTCCAGTAAGATTAAATGGAGATGCCCTGGCCAAGGTACTCAACTCTCCCAGCCTCAGTTCCTTCAACTGTAAAAGGGGGGATAATAATAGCACCTCAATCAAAGTGTTGCTGTGTAAAATGAGACAATGCATTAAAATATTCAGCACAATGCCTGACACACTCAAAGTGGGAGAAGCATTTCATTAACTGTTACATTCTACATTTATGTCATTATCCCTTAGTATTCTCAGAGGGTTGTTGTGAAGATTATATGAGAACATATATGTGAAACCATGTTGTAATGCACTATGCAAACGTAGTTACCTTTATTTTCACTGTCTCCGCAACTAGGTTAGAAGCTCCTTTCAGCCTGAACACATTAAGTCCAATCCTCAGCAAGATGCACAAAGCCTTACCCAGCTCAGCTTCTTTCTTTTAAAGTCTCCCATTTTCTTCTCAGCACCTATCACAGGGTCATGCACATGTTAGGCACTCAAGGTAGATTTAAACATAGTAACAGCTCTAGAATTAGCAAGGCCTTTAGCTGAAAGTGAAGCCTGCTGCATTCTTTTTGTTTGATGTTTGTTTTGTATAACTTGATTGAAACATTTTTCCTTGGTCAATGTACTCCTAATATTTTGGAGATGCTGTATAATTGTATTAGGCTTAGTTAGCTTTGTGGTAGGACCGCTTCCCCTTTTGGCATGGATGCCAGGGAGGCAGCCTTAGCCAGGGTCCTACTTTTTTCTCTTACTAAAGACATAAATTATATAACTCTTGCATTGCAGAACGACTGAAAAAGTGCTTGATTTGGGTCCTTTCTGACATTTTGGAAACTTCTGTGTATCACTCCCGTTTAGAATTTATTAAGATGTGGTAGTAAAACATGTAGAAAAAATAAAAGGGTAAGGCTTTCAGGTACTGATTGGAAACACAGGTGTGGGTACAAGGAATCCAGATAGGTGAAAGTTCCCACAATCTTCAGAAAACGTCCTCAAGTTCTGGAAAGGGTTTGAAGCAGTGTACAGGGAAAGCGCAATATATTAAGACAAAGAGAGTCGAATGCTCCTTAAAGCCTTAAGCGACTCGCGAGCACAGGGGAACGACTAGAGGCCTGCCTGGGGAATCCACGGGGACCATCGCAGGTGAGGGCGAGGAGGGCGAGGCGCGCCCCGGAGCCACAGGCCTGCAGGTGCTCCGCCCTGCCTGCCCCGCGGTGGGGGCCAATTCCCTTCGCCCCGCTGGGCCAGGGCGGCCCGAGACGGCTGAGCCGGCCGCGCTGGGGGAAGGAGTTTCCGGCGGACTCGGCGCGGTGCCGCTTCCTGTCCCCCTCGTCGCGCCGTCTCACACCGCCCGTCCGGGACGCGGCTCGCACCGGACCCCCCTCCCCGTGCCCGGCGACGCCCCCGGCCCCATGCAATCCCGGCTCCTGCTCCTCGGGGCCCCGGGCGGCCGCGGAGGCCCAGCTGCGCGGCGCGTGAGGCTGCTCCTGGGGCAGGTGGTGCGGCGCCAGCCGGGCGGCGACGCGCGGCGCTCGGAGGTCAAGCTGCTGCACGCCGGGGCGGGGGCCGACACAGGTAACCCCGGGACGCCTCGCCGCCCAGCGCTCCGCGCGGGGCTCCCGCGCACCCCCCCGCCCCCCCCCCCCCCCCCCGCAATCCCTACTGCTTCAACTGGGGAGGAGCGCTGCGCCGGGAGCTAGGAGATGGAGGTTCTAGTATCCACCTCGCCGCTAACTGCTGTGTAACGCGGGGCCAGGCGCATGCACCCTCTGAGCCTCATGTAACCCGTGGGAACTGGACTTAGGTTTCTGATGACCTGGAATAGTGCTTTCTCCTTCCCGCACTGCTTCTTTCACCCCCACCCCACCCCCCGGGATTCTGACTTAGATTATAGCACACGCAGAGCTTAATGCAGCAGCCCTCAGAGGGTGTTGAAAGCTGGACTTGACCTTGCTCTCTGAGTCCCAAGGGCCTGGAAGTCAGTCTGTGCCATGTTCCAGCCAGGGTTAGTGGCGGCTTAGAAGTGTACGTTCTCGCCAAAGAACCCCTCGTTAGGTTTTAAATGTATCCACGAGCCTTTCCAAGTTTTACTTGGAGTTTTCATTTCTCACAGGTTCACAAGTTCTTAGAACTGAAAACCACAATTTAATTTAGTTAAAACCCCTGACTCTATAATGGAGGTAATTGAGACCCAGAAAGGAAAAGTGACTTCCAGAAGATCACACAGCTAACCCTAGGCTGTGAAAGCGCAGAGTCCTAACCACTGGACCACCAGGGAATTCCCAGCTGATTTCTAAGCTCAGTATTTCTTGGCTCTATCTGAGATGGTTTTAGGGATGTGTGTGTGTGTGTGTGTGTGTGTGTGTGTGTGTGTGTGTGTGTGTGAGAGAGAGAGAGAGAGAGAGAGAGAGAGAGCGCTGGAGTTAGAGCATTTGTGCTGGTTAAGGGAGGGGATGTATGTTGTTGCTCCACGTGAATGGCTAAGTGATTCTAGGCAAGATTTTGTCAGTGTCATTGCTTAGAATAAAGGAGGTATTCACCTGAGATTGCTAGTTTCATGGTTCTTCTTGCACCCCCAGCCCAATAATTTTCCTTGTCAGAAGTGAGGGAGTTTAAGTCCCATCCATTTCATCATTCATTCATTAAACAAATTTTTTTTCTTTTTCCTGTATAGGGTTGTGATTTGAGATTTTGCCCCTTTATAAATTATTATGCTTCTAGGGTGTTTGTTTTTTAGTCTTTGAGTTTTTTATTTGTTAGTTTCTCCTTTGTCCTAGAAGGCAGAGGTCAATGGTAGAAGTGTAGCGTAATCCATAACTTGTGATTTGGAGTGAACAGTCTGAGTTGGAGGCCATTTCTGCACCGTCTAGGTATGGGGATTTGAGGGTAGGTTACTTAATTTTGTGTCCCAGTTTCCTTAACTGTAAAACGAGGATAAGGAAAGTATATTTGATAGGGTTGTGGTAAGGATTTAGTTTATACAATCCCTGGCACATATTAATGTTCAATAAAAATTAGCTTCTTTATTATTCTTAGTATATGTTATTTTCAGCTATGTGAGATTTATTGTTTCCTTGGCTTTAGAAGAAATGAAACCAGTTCCTTTTAGGTTTGAACTGTGAGAACTGTCTAGGTAGGCTGGTGGAGCAGGGTTGATTCATGGGAACTTTAAAAAGAAAAATGTTCTTTATACATGAATAATACATGTTGATTATAAAAACATTAGACACGGCCTCAAAATTTGTGGTATGTCCAGCAAATCAAAGTACAGGCTTTGCTTCAAATGTGAGAGTCATGTACACATTACAAACAACATATTAACTTCTTAGACTCAGTCACTTAGCATGACACCACATGGAGTAAATTATGTTAACCCTACTTGCCTTGCCACTGCAAAGATTCTCAAGGTTGAAGGTATGAGGGCTGTGGATAAATGTACCTGAAAACTCACCAGAGATCTGGACTCAAGTAAGAACAGCTGTGAGCCAGGTAAACAGGAGGCAAGTTCTGGGCTTCCCTGGGACATAACATTGGCCATCAAGGTTGAAGTGTCCCATTTTGAACCAGATGTCACACACAGACAAATGTAAACCACAAATAGCATTATGCTGTAATGAATTACAGTTTAGATTGGAAAGATGCTCTCAGCTGCACTCAGACATGTGACTAGTAGCTCACCTCTCTGCAAGTAATTGACCTTGCTTCCTAGTAGTTTGGAAAAAGAACAACACGGATACAAATTATATACTATTCTTATCTCTCCTGGGCTGTATGTATGTCTTATTTATCTTATATTCCTTTTTGTGCATGTCAACTCTTTGTACCTAAGAAGTGTTCAGTGGCTTATTATCTTCCGGTTTGTACAGAGAGGGAGCAGGAGAGCCTGGAATTGCCTTGCTGGCTTTCAAGATGGGAGCTTTATAAAGCCTGAGAAGCAGAAGGAAGAGAGGGTCATTTTGTTTAAAAAAAAAAAAAAAAAATCCCCAAACCCACTGCTTTTTATCTTTTGCTATTAGGTAGTCTAAACATCCATAATTTGTAAATTCTTTATATCTCTTTACACTTCAATTGGTTGTATTGTCTCTTGGTTTTAGGAACAAAGCGGTTAACAAGGAGGTTAGCTACTGCAGAGTTGTTTTTTTTGTTTGTTTGTTTTTTGGATGGCTGCACGGCTTGTAGGATCTTAGTTCCCCGACCAGGGATTGAACCCAGGCCCTTGGCAGTGAGAGTGCAGAGTCCTAACCACTGGACCGCCAGCGAATTCCCTGCAAAGAGTTTTCATAATGATTATTGTAGTGTTTTCACAGAAGGAGCCAAATTAGTTCAGTAGGATTCTGATGTCAAACAGGCTCAGATATACCATAGATTAAGATCAAATGATAAATCTGGAAACATAACTCTATAAATCCACTGTGACACATTGAGTGTCATCCTTTTACACCCTTATTATTAAAGGGGTTCACTATTTTATCTTTCTGACTTTTGTGTATAAGTTTGTTTATAGAAATATTTAAAAATATTGATACTTTTTGTACAAGAAATCTATGTTCATTGTAGTGAAAAATAGACAAATTCCCTAAAATATCTTTCCATGCAAATTCATGATTGTCATTTTTTTGTGTGTTACTACTATCAGTTTTTGTAAAAAATATATATAATATGCATTTATATAAATACATATTTCTTTTTCTTTAAAAAATGGAATCATGTATGTTTTACAGTTTATTCTCACTTAGCCATTATTGTTAACGTACTAACATAGTGATAAATATTGTTATATCTGGTCATTTTAAATAGGCTTTAAGTTCATACATTTATCCATATAATTTATTTTACCAGTTTCCCATGCTTAGACATTCAGGTTGTCTATTTTTAAATATATAAACAGTGCAATAAACATCCATCCATATGTATTTTTGTAACTTTAAGATTATATCCTCGGGTTATAATAGAACTAATGACTTTGGGGAAGGGAAATATAGAACTCCTGCTTCAATTCAGAAATATGGTGTAAAGGGAAAAACTGTACTGTGTGTGTGCAGGTCTTAGCTCTATATTTACTAGGTATTGAACTTTGGGGAAATTATTAACTACTTGAACCTGCAGCAGGCTATTTTGACCCTGAGGACATTGTGACTTTTGTGTATTAAAGAATTTAGCAGTAAAATCCCAGAACAGTTGTAACCTAATAAATTGCTGGACAATTTATTGGGAACATGCAGACTGGCCTGGAAATTGCTGATATATTTGGTTTTCTCTTGGGTCTAAGTTTTGTATTAAAAAAAACCAATGGTGACACTTAAGGGTTCTTAACCAGGGGTAATTCCCGTTCCCCAGGGGACATTTGGCAGTGTCTGAAGGCATTTTTTGGTTGTCCTAACCAGGGGGAAGGGGGTGCTACTGGTATCTAGTGGGTGGAGGCCAGTGAATCTGCTGAACATTCTACAATGCACAGGACAGCCCCTAAAAATAAAGAATCATTTGGCCCAAAATGTCAGTCGTGCTGGCTGTTGAGAAACCCTGAACTAAACCAACTTCTTTGGTTGGTTTAGTTCAAAGCTACAAGTCATTGAATTGTGAGTCCATTTCAGAGTCAGATGTCCTAAGGTGTGTATATTCATTAACTTAATTTGTAGTTTACAGTTCAGAAGGCATTAAGCATTAAGCATCTCCCATTTTAGGAGAAGGGCTACCACAGATGTGCCTGAAATACATAACTAAGAAAAGCATTTTTGAGATTGGTAAAGATTTTGACAGTAGAACAGCTTTGAAATATCTGAGGAAAATACCCATATTTCTCCTGGGTTAGCCAAGAACTAAATAAAAATTATTAATCATATAAAAAATTTAAAGTCTTATTAGAAACTATCAATACAAAATAAAAATCTGACAAAGCTATATACTAAAAAATTTGTTATTGATTAAACATTGAAGAAAGAGCAAAATCTTTTTGGTATTCAGTCCACGCTGATGGCCACAAAGGAAAACAGAGTTGCAGAAGATATAATTGGTGAAATTCTTTATGGACAAAAAAAGTGATTGATAAATCCTCACTATAAAATAATTCTTTAAATAAAGGAAAAATAAAAATGTGCTCTATAAAAATTGATCAAGGAGTTCTTTTGGCTTAATTTTGCTCGAAAGTTAACTTTGATGAAAATTTATGAACGCTAGTATTATTCTGATTAAAATGTTTGTTTTCAGAATATCCTCAGGGTCAAAATGTTATATATTCCTCTCTGAGTATATATCTTCTTTGTAAAATAGGGATAGCTACACTTGCTTTGCCTGCCTTTACCTTACAAAAATTGTTGTGTTAGTCAGCAGTCATTAGGTTTTAAGTGACAGAAATGTGCACAGAAAAGCATATGATTAGTTCACATAGGTGGAAGGTCCAATGGCTTCAGACTGGACTAGATGCAGGATATTAGAACATCTTTAGGGCTTGGGCTCTCTCTGTCTTTCCCCATGGTTCCCCCACTCTCCACTCTTCCTTTATTGGATCTACTTTTTGCAGTATTGGTTTCAATGTCTGGCAGGCTTTCTTCAGCTGGTAGCAGTGACAGCCTTACTGA